ATCTATACCAAAAAAACTAAACGTTTCGGTGCAACAAGCCGCAAGCCCTCAAAGTACTTGGACTTGGTGTTTTCAAACGCAACACTCAGCGTAGCTGATTTGAAAAAATACTATGTGTATACATATATGCACAGTATATATATATAAATAAATAAGGCCGTAATCTTTCAACTTCCTTGGCTGGCCCCTCATGGCTCTTCTTTTCTTTCCTTCTACTTCCGGTTCGTCTTCCCTGGAAGCAGGTTTCTTCGGCCCCTATGTGCGTATTATATATATATAATTATACACATAAAAACAAACATAAACAAATAAATATATATATATATTTGTTTATTTATTTATGAACTATATAGAATTGTTTCATCCTTTGATCAAGAGAAACTTGTAGTGTATATCCGAAACTTGCAATACCCCATATAAACCATTGGAGGATTTCCTCAGGAAAACTTATGCATTCAACGGCCACATCAAATTGCTGAGGCACATCTTAGAGTATCGTAGACTTGTGATCGCCCAAAAAAATCTGGCTACCCTAAAAAAATGGACCAACAGATATGTCAGAAACACTATCGGGAATTCCTGCAATAGGGATACCTGCATGTTTCATCCAAAATTGAAACCGTGGATATGGTCAGTTGGGAATCCCCCATGACTAAAAACATCATTTTTATGGGTAGGTAGGTTCTTGTTTCCATCCTTTTTGGGGACTTACTATATACAACGATGAAGCTGAAACGCCTGGGCGAAAAGTCGAATTGGGGTTTCTCAGGCAGACAGACCCCATGGAAGAAAAATCGCATTGTTATGGATTGATGGAGGTGTCATTTACAGTTTCGTTTTGGGTTTCATTTGGACCTTCATTCAGGGCTTCATTTACGGCTTCATTTAGGGTTTCTTTCGGTTTTCACGTAAGGGTTCATTCAGGAGTTCATTGAAGCTTTCCTTAGGGTTTCATACCTGGGTTCCTTTTCAGGACTTCTTTTCACGATCTCTAAACATTCAAGTGGGCTTCTTTAGGGCTTCTTTAGGATTTCAGTAAGGGTTTCATTTAGTGTTTCATCGGAGTTTCTTTTGGATTTCGTTTCGGGTTTCTTTAGGGTTTCATTTGGGATTTCATTTAGGGTTTCTTTCGGGTTTCGTGTAAGGTTTCAACTTAAGGTTTCATTTCGAGTTTCGTTACAGTTGTTCAAGGGTTTCAGTTCAGGTTTCATTTGATGTCTTTTTTTTCAAAGTATCATTTAGGATTTCTTTAGGATGTCATTTGAGGTAATTATCATTTAAAGTTTCTGTGCGGTTTTATTTGTGGTTTCTGCATCTTCAAAGTGATGGGTGCATAGATGAAACTTTATATGTCATGTATATATAAATATGAAATCGATTGAAATCGTTGCAATTGCCAAACTTTGATGTGGATCATTGCAAGTATAGAATTCCGGACAGGGAAACGAGAAAACTTTGGACAAACTTGGACACTTGGATACCTGAATGCATACTGTGCGCTTTAGCTAGCTGCTGCGCCTTGCCACTAACAATACTGCGCCTTGCTCACCTAGACCACAGTGTAACTCCGAGGACAAGGTCCTGGTCAATATATATATATTTATATATATACATAACTCCAAGGACAAAGTCCTGGACTATATCTACATATGTAACTCCAAGGACAAGGTACTGGTATATATATATATATAACTCCAAGGACAGAGTCCTGGACTACATATGTTTAGTATTTAAAAAAAAAAAAAAACGTCCCTGTTCAGGACACTGCCTGTTCGGCAGACTAGTTACTGTTTCATGCATGTCATGGTCCTGGCTATGGTATTTATTTTCAAGGACAAAGTCCTGGTATACATCTGTAACTAATGGAAATGTTTCTATTTACATACATATATATATGTATTTATATTTAAATACTTATATATATACACATACATACATATTACATTACATTACATTGCATTACATTCCGTTACAATACAATACAATGACAGTACATTTACGCGCAAACCCCCCAGTTCGCCCACACAACTTCTTAGGGATTTTGAAGGAATATAAATTCCGACCCCCGTTAAACTTTACATTCAATTGGGAAGATCAACCAGAGTATTAGGAATATAAATTCCCACCCCCGTTAAACTTTACATTCAATTGGGAAGATCAACAAAGGTAGCAGGGAATATTGCAGTCCCACCCCCGTTAAAAACTTCTACATTCATTGAAGATCTTCAATAAGAGTTTAATTCTCCCACCCCCGTTAAACTTCTACATGCATTGAAGATCTTCAATAAGAGTTTAATTCTCCCACCCCCGTTAAACTTCTACATGCATTGAAGATCTTCAATAAGGGTTTAATTCTGCAACCCCCGTTAAACTTCTACATTCATTGAAGATCTTCAATAAGGGTTTAATTCTCCCACCCCCGTTAAACTTCTACATTCATTGAAGATCCTCAATAAGGGGTCAATTCTCCCACCGCTGTTAAACTTCTACATTCATTGAAGATCTTCAATAAGGGTTTAGTTTTCCCACCCCATTAAACTTCTACATTCATTGAAGATCTTCAATAAGGGTTTGATGATGATGATGATGGTGATGATTCTGATGATGATGATGACGATGTTGTTGTAACATTCAACGCACAGGTAGCTAAGCTGTGCGTTGCAAGATGAAAGCCATGATCATGGACATGTGCATTTTGTCCCACAAAACGCAGTATTTTTTGATGTTCGGACACGTCGTCGGCGTTGGCGCGGGCAAACTGAGGGTTTTTACCGTACATTTACTATACAGTACATTTACAGTACAGTACACTACTACATAACGTTACATTGCATACATACATACCAGCCAAAGTCCATCAAATTGCAAGGACAGAAGTCATGGTAAGAAATTTCCAAGGACAAAAATCTGGACTCATGTTTATTAAAGTGGAACTAAGCTACATATATGTGTATAACTCCAAGGACAAGGTCCTGGTATATATATATTTATATACATATATATACATATTTAATTCTAAGGACAGAGTCCTGGGCTATATATACATATGTATCTCCAAGGACAAGGTCCTGGTCTATGTATATATATATACACATAACTCCAAGGACAAAGTCCTGGACTATATAAATATATATACATAGCTCCAAGGACAAGGTCCTGGCATATATATATATATTTAACTCCAAGGACAGCGTCCTGGACTATATATACAAATATAACTCCAAGGACAAGGTCCTGGTCTATATATATATATATATTTATATATATACATAACTCCAAGGACAAAGTCCTGGACTATATCTACATATGTAACTCCAAGGACAAGGTCCTGGTATATATATATATATAACTCCAAGGACAGAGTCCTGGACTACATATGTTTAGTATTTAAAAAAAAACGTCCCTGTTCAGGACACTGCCTGTTCGGCAGACTAGTTACTGTTTCATGCATGTCATGGTCCTGGCTATGGTATTTATTTTCAAGGCAAAGTCCTGGTATACATCTGTAACTAATGGAAATGTTTCTATTTACATATATATATGTATTTATATTTCAATACTTATATATATATAAATACATATTACAATACATTACATTGCATTACATTCCGTTACAATACAATACAATGACAGTACATTTACAGTACATTTACAGTACAGTACACTACACTACATAACGTTACATTGCATACATACATACCAGCCAAAGTCCATCAAATTGCAAGGACAGAAGACATGGTAAGAAATTTCCAAGGACAAAAATCTGGACTCATGTTTATTAAAGTGGAACTAAGCTACACATATTTGTATAACTCCAAGGACAAGGTCCTGGTATATATATATATATACATATTTAACTCTAAGGACAGAGTCCTGGGCTATATATACATATGTAACTCCAAGGACAAGGTCCTGGACTATATCTACATATGTAACTCCAAGGACAAGGTCCTGGTATATATATATTTAACTCCAAAGACAGAGTCCTGGACTACATATGTTTAGTATTTAAAAGAAAAAAAACGTCCCTGTTCAGGACACTGCCTGTTCGGCAGACTAGTTACTGTTTCATGCATGTCATGGTCCTGGCTATGGTATTTATTTTCAAGGACAAAGTCCTGGTATATATCTGTAACTAATGCAAATGTTTATATTTACATATATATAGATGCAACAAAAAATTGAAGACACCAAGAAACTTTGAAAACACCAAATACCATGAAAGTGTCTTCTGTTCCGTGTTTGCAATTTTGTGTGTTTGTTTTTTTTCCCGATTTTGCCGCGCTTCCATGGGACCCAGAAAAAGAGGACGTGGGAAAATACGATGGCCGAGCATGTCCAGCCATCATATTTTCCCACATCTTTTTTGGACACCAAGAACCCTAAAGCTGCGATACCAAATCCCTATAATTTGAATAGAATACCTGAACTATTAGTACCGGAAATAATGGATGCTATGCATACTGTGTGTCTTTCTTCGTGTCTACGCCTTGCCATGGCACAACACTGCACCTTGCCACAGACGGGGGGGGGTTAATGGGAAGGTTTATTTAATAATTCACGAGCTCAAGACCCAGACTCTGGTTGAAGTCGTCGAGGAACTGCTCAGGGGGGTGAAGGGGTTTGGTGGGTGGGTGTTCTTACTATATCAAAATATCTTGTCAAATATATTGCATTCAAAAATATTAAATATACCTTATGAAATATACATATAAACAAGGGGGGGCCTGAAAGTGCGAAGCACTGAAGAATATTTAGGTCAATCTTGTGACCTTGGTAATCCACCGACTATGTCACTTTGTCCGAAGTCTCTGGCCTTCCCCAGCTTCTTCACATTCTTTTCCGGGGTCGGCGGCAGGGGCGGCAGCCCTTAAATAATTTGTATACTTATGTGTGCATATCTCATATACGTTGGGACTTATTTGGAATCATATATATATAATTATATGTATAGTTATAATTATTTTAATATATACTGTAAGTAACATTAAATAACTATTTTATTCAGGATTCTCATGAAATATGGATACATTATGATATATTTCGGTTATATCAAGGGACGAGATGGAATGATCTTCCCAAACGTATTCACCCACCTCCAAATGGCTCTGCAGCAGCACGGTCATGGGGCTAGAAGGAGGTGCCACCTTGGTCCAAGTATTGAGGCAAGGACAAATGTTGAAAGTGGCTGGATTTCCACAAAATCTTCAATGTTATGGTCCAAGAAACATACTTCCACTGTAGAAAGTTCGGGACAGATAGTGCCTCCAAGTGGCTGGATTTGTCATTGGCACAGTGGCCAAGCACCCCGTTGATG